TTGTCTGAAGCTGTGAAGCTCCAAAGACTTGAGCTTGAAAGTGAAACTGACCGAGTCGAAAGAGAAAGTGATCATTTGATTATGTTATGTCACATTGTTAGTTACAGTAACTGATAGCCATTAAAGAATCCCATAAAATCAGTGGCAGTTATCTGGTGAAACAGATTTTAGCTCATGAGCTAACATTTTTAGCCTCTGATGCCCTTACTCTACAAATTTTGTAACTTGTAAACCAATAACTGGAATCTGTATCTACCAAATTATCACAAGGTTTACCCATTAAGGTTTATGACTTGTAACTTTTGCAAGAGATACTTGCAGTCACTAATTTATAACTGATCATTTGTCCTGCAAAGCCAAATGCTTGCATTGCTCTGCTTCAAGTTGTCCACCTCTCCAGACAATATTTCCTGTCCTTGTATAATCTAGTTCAAATAAATTATTTCATGAACACATAAATAAATTATTAACCCATTCATATATGCTGTGCCCTGATTTGATTAGCTGCTAGCTTGAATCCCCAATGAGAATCTCCCAAAACAGAGTTCACTGTGACTTCTGAGTGCTCAAAGTAAGAATTGGCTATACGTAACTACTACATAAATCTCTGTGACTTATATAAAAGTAATATATGTACTTCTACCAACACTGACGGAGCTCCTGTTTTGCTTCACAAACAGAAGCAAAAGGAATTTTGTAGGTGTCAGAATTTTCCCCAGAAATGCAAATACTGCATACCAGAAGGGAATTTCTAAGGCGGCAACCTGTAAAGTCAGCATGAAGGAATGACTCAGCATGATACGGCAATTCCTTTTCAAGAAAACATGTGATGCATTAGATTATGAACAGAAGCATAAATACAAAGACACTGGAGGAAGAGCCTTGTTTAGATCTCATTTCCCTCCAGACTCCTGAGTCAGACTGACATGCTTCTTCAAACCAACTAAAGATAAAAGTAAATTGCAATATCCACTCATGTCTGACCACGTTTGGATGAATTTATGATAAAGTCTTGTCCTGTGGGCTCACAAACTGATGTAACTTAGTCACAGGAGCAAGAAACATAAATATGACGCAAAAAGCATCATAAAAAGATCTGATATTTTTCCAAGCCGTAACAATTCAAAAGAAAAGTTCAGCGTCTGACAGGAAAGAACTGAGCTTTAAATTTAGATATGTGTTACACATGAAAAAAATGCTTCCCTGCTCATTTTACTCTGTTTTTGCTTTTTGTTTTGCATCTAGCTGTTTCAGACAATCAAATCCTCTTTTACCAATCAGACCATCAAATAAATGTTAATATCAGTCAATATAACCTGACTATGCAGTTTTCAAATTGGGTTTTCATCGACCTAACCCAACCTGACTTTATGTGGAATCACAGTTAGTTGTGAGTTAACTGTGATTCACCACATCCTGGCCAGACTCCTAAAGAAATCACTAAGAAGAGAACTTGTCTGACAATATGAATTAGTCTAAAAGAACAAATAAAGCAACAATCTAAAGAAATTCTTGAACAGATGAAAAAATAAAGTTATTGACGACTATCAGTCTGGAAAGGATTACAAAACCATTTCTAAGGCAATCACATCACAGTGAGAGCCAATATCAGCGATGAAGCTTTGCACTAGTAGCTGGTTGACAAAAATCACTGCAAGAGTGATTCAGTGATTCACCAAAGACGTTACAAAAAACATTTAAAGCACCATAATTCAACAACTAGACGGTGATTCTGAAAAAATAGATATTTTCCCAGGGCTCCCAGGTGAAAACCACATTTGCCAAAAACGTCTCAAAACACCAGATTGATCCCCAAGACGTTTGTAAAAATATTCTGTGGTTGGTGGAGATAAAAGTAAATCTTTTTAGAAGGTTTGTGTCCTATAACATCTGTCACCAACTGAATTTCTCCAAGACTAAAGCAGATTTCAGTGACCTACATCTGTGTTAAATGTAGCTACACTATTTTAATCAATGTAATTTCTTAAATGGCAACTTAAGAATGAAAAAAAAACAATCATATAAACAACAAACTTGCTGAAAGTTGCAAAGATTTATCGAATGACAGTCTTCCACACCAGTCCTGTTTTTAATTTTGAGCAATCAATGGCACCAAAACATAGTTTCAAAGGTATTCTTTAAATTGTAATAAAAATCTTTAGCTCTCTTGCTAACTAAATATCCAAGGATGAAATTATTTCTATTTCTACATGCAAAGCGTTGTCTTTGCAGGCTAATGACTGGCCTCCTTTCCACGTGTTCTGACTGTGCTAAGTTGCGTGACTCAGCTCGAGGGTTATCGGTGACCTTTCCACCAACACCACTGCCTACGTGCAAATGCATCAATGCATTCACACATACACTTTGTCGAGACTTTCTCACCAAGGTGGTGGAATTTGCAGGACGGTGGCCAAACTACAAGCCAACAGCTTAGTGTGCCAATATCAGCTGCCTGAAAACAGTGTTCCTCTCTCAGATAAGCATAGTGAGTATTCAAGTAATAGCACTTTGGATGGTGGAAAGCTTCCCTGAAAGTATGTTGCACATGTGCTGGAAAAGACGGATGTTGACACGTGCAATAGCACATTTCCGATATGTGCTATTTTAACTTATGTCTGTTAAGCATGACGATGGGTGGAGAAGAGGCAAAGGGCAAATAAGCCAATAACTACAATACAATACAAAGCCTTTAACATATTAAGGTTCAGAATTTTAAATAAGTAAGCAGCAGATGAGCGACATAATTTCCTGCTCTGCTGGAATCCCTTACGACAGTCGGCTTCTGATAACCTCTTGCCCCGATTGCTGACAGAAGTATGTGCTGAAACCTGCACAATCAGCTTTATCACTGAGTGGCCCTCTTTCTCCGTCTGCTGGGTCATGCTTGAGAGGCAAACTTTTAAGGTGACTTCCCTTGGGAATGAAACTGATTAACACAGTGGTCATCAATACTCAATGTCTCTCCAGGAGGCTGGGCCATCTGCGGGAACTTCAAGTTGCTGAAAATAAAACAGCTGAAGTCGGAATTAAAACTTGCACATCACAATCATTTCCTCCAAAGCTTCAACGGTGCTTACATCAGTGTCTTCAAGTAGATTTTTGTAAAGATGAATCATCTTGATGCAATTAGTGCTGGGAGGAGTAAAGCATGGAAGCATAACCAAAGTTTTCACAGCATCTTTGCAAGTTGTAGATGAAGAAGATCCTCCTGGGTGGGCCACTGTCTCCTCATGTCTCGCATTCTCATTCCTTTTATTCAACATAATGAGGATTTTATCTATTATCTTTATATTCCTTTTGCAACCTCCTTCCATCCTCCTGCCTGTAACTTTGGTGTAAAGAGATATCCTTTTAATGTCTCATTGAGCTACAAACAAGAAGTTAATGAGCATTTATCAATGCATCAGTCAGATAACCAACCTTACCGCTTGGATCAAGAAGGTGAGGTTTTATCTCACAACGTACATGAAGACAAAGTCAATTTCATGCAAAATATGCAAAGTTTTTTTGCGATAGCAGTACAGAAGCAATATCAGTGATCAGATTGATCCGTTCCCTGAATTCTCCATTTTGCAAATGCAACAATTTAGCCCTCAAAACAATTATAACAATCCTATTTTAATCCCAAGACGAGGCTATACCCCAGCATAACTGATCAGGAACTTACTTTGTTTAGGAACTTCTTTCCGAGAGCCCCAAAACCAACCTCTGCATTTTGTCTATGCAGTATTCAATGAGCAGCGTGTTAAGATGTTGCAAATATGGTGGACAAAGACTAACCCCACATTGTGAGTCATGTGATCCTGTTGTTAAATATTTAATTTCATTGTAGTACTACACCACAGAACGAGGCCATTCAAAATACACAGACACTGTCTGAGTCATCTATTGATTGCATTATAAAATACTGCAATGGTCAAATACCCAAAAGGACGTAGTTTACTTACAGTCGAATGTTTTATCAAGATTAAACCAAATCACACAATGCATAAACAGAAATCATGTCAAATATCAAAAATTGTGTCCATATAGAAAAATGACGTTTCATGACACTGCACATGGTTGACACTAGCAAGGCTTCTTCAGAAATGACAATGGATTATTACATTGGATTAATAGCAACAATATCTTTACCATCACAGAAAGCTCCCTCTGCTCACTTTGCATTGTCATTTTCACATTTTACCAGCATATCTCACAAGTTACAAGCTTTTTCCATACAATGCAAGACTTTAGTCTAAGTTATCACAGAATATACCAAAGCAGCAATAAGAGTTGTGTCAATTAAAACAACACGGTGTCCCTCTAATTGGTCAACTTGCAATGTTTTCTGATTGCTTGAGGCATTTTAAGAAAAAAAGGCAAAATACAAAACAGTTTATTCCTGGGCCATTTGCTCCCATTGTATCAAAACAATATTTAAATAAACTTATCAAATATATATATTTTTTTTTTCATTCAAATACATAAAGTTATTTCTTGGAGAAAATATGAATGAAAAATTACACGAAAATCTAGAAGTAGTTACTACAACCTGCACGTTTCATTCATGCGCCACTGGCTCATAAAGGACGATGAAATAATCCGCGCTGCAGACGAGGCATGGCCACATGGCCAGCTGTGCGGCTGGACGCGGTCCCTCTTACCTCTACAAGTTTTCCGCAACATTCGCGACAAGCAGCGGCATCTTTCAAACACATTGTGAGATCATCGGACGTGTGCACCGCAGGCAGCGTCTCGGGCGCCGGTCAAACGTCCAAAAGGTCCAAGACGCGACCAAGCAGCGTCACGCAGCTCCCGTCCTGCTGCGCACAGCATTAACCGAGCAGCCTTCATCACTGGGGAGCTTTGGGTTTTTATTTACCTCCCCCGAGGAGACCAGACAGTGATAACGCGAGCACGCGCCTCTCTCTTTTTTTTTTTTTTTTTTTTCCTACCACACACAGAGATTAAACATCAACCCATATTGCAGCCCCCTCAGTGCGTAAAGCGTGGAAAAAGACCAACAACCAAAGCCAGTGTTGCTACAGAGGGAAACAAAGTATGAAGACATGCCAATAACTCACTGGGAGATTCCATAGCGGTGTCCGCAGAGCCCCTCTCAGGCTCCAATAGGTCCGTCTATCGGCCATTAATTGGAAACGAGGCTCTTTTGTGGATCTCATGTGCACTTATCCGGTAGGTGTTTCTAAAAACTGATGCCGTTTGATTTTTTTTTCTTTCTTTCTTTTTTTTTTATTAATGACTTTGAAAGTAAGATGTCATTGTTTCCATGATGACAAGATGAGCTACTCCTCCCTGGAGGAAAACTGTTATTGCTTTATAAATAGAGTGGGGGTGGGGACTGAAAAATAAAAAAATAAACTTAATATTAAGGTGATTAAAACCACACAAAGACAGCAACGGGAAAACGTCCCATTCAATCTGTTATTGGTGGAAATGTTTCCAGAAACAGCAAATCACAATATTTAATAGTTCAGAAATTGTATCTTTGTTAATAAACTACTTTCTCTGAATAAAAACATGTTTTACGGAAACATGAATTTCATTTAGTGTAATTTGACTTCCTTTATTTAATTAGGTTAAAACCCCATTGGGATCAAAATCTCATTTGCTGGCCAGAATATCTGCTTCACATATCAAAAGGGTTGCACAAATCAAAGACACTTAAAACAGCATTTAAAACTATAAAAAGTGAAAAAAAAGAATAAAATATGTAGATTTTCATTCAGAACTTTGACTTATTAGAGGAAATTATTTAACACTACTTCTTGTGTGGTTTATTGGCTGGTAAAAAGTTACATTTGGTCTGAGGTTTGATGCTAACCTTTCAAATATTAAATATTGCACAAATGAATCTTTAACCAAAGCCTACCTTTCTGATTCCTTCGGAAAGATTCTCGTTTCCAAAAATGTCCTGCTTCTTAATGATCTTCACTGTTAGATTCAGGTTATCCAGTTTTCATTTGGACTCTCTGACATTTTCACGGGATCGTCATCTTCCTGAAAAGCCAGTTGGTAATCAAGTTTAAAGTACTTAAGTCATTATATTTTTCGCAAAACAAGCTGGTGGTTCCAAGAATCCAAGATGAGAGTCACATGTTCAAGTTTATCCAGTCCTGCAGCTAAACAGTCGCCACACAAAATGTGAATGACTTCTATTAATGTTTAAATGCATTTCTCTTAGGACTGTTGACATAAAATCCACACTGGACTCAAGTAATCCATACATAAAAGGAAATACAGCTATGCGTAAAAACAGTGGGATGACACAGGGAATAAATAAGCAAAATGGCTAAAAAAACTCAAATATTTGACAGAAAGTCAACCGAGTGAAATGAGCTTGTTTATTTCTAAATGATGGCAAGTAGGCAGAACTAGCAAGAAGTTTTTTCAGTAGCAGAAAAACCATATAAAAGTGAAACTAGAAACTAGTTTCTTTTCAAACCAATTCGCTACAGCTGTATTTCTAAACCTCTTAATGTTTGAGTTAGCTGCACTGGGGCTATAAACCAAAAGAAGAAAAACGACAACTTGAGCATTAAAAGGCTGTGAACCGGTGCTAATAACATGATTTCTGACAGAGGAGTCAAAATAATAATCAAATAGGTGGTACAGAGGCTAGAACAACATGAGACAGAACCTTTAGCAGGCAGTTTTGGTATAAAAACAATAATTAGTACAATAATTGCACAAGATTCCACACAGTACTCTGGTAAAATCTTAATTTCCAAAGTACTATGGATTCAGACTCTCTGCCAGTAATTTATTTAGTAACATTTGTTCATTGCAGCAAACAAAGGTTTATAAGATAAGACAACAAAGTTATCAATAAACTACAACAAAGCTGCTTCATTTTCAAATCACAAAGAAACATCTGAGGCAACTTTTACTTCAACTTCTTCAAATTTAAATTCCTCTGGATCAATAACTCATTATTTGTGATCTATAAACCAAAGCAGAAACACATTAGCATTGTTTATCACATTTTGCATATTTTTTTCGATCCATCAGCCTTCATAGATACTGGGGGACGCTGTCTAATACATTTTGAATTAATCTTTTAGCATTAGTAAAGCTCTCGCTCCCTGGACCACAGCCCTGGTCTTCTAAGACTTATGTCATCATAGAACAATGATTTTGTGTCCGGTGAACAATTTCTGAATTGATTTTGGTCATTAAGCTGCTGAAAACCTTTCCAGCAGATTTTATTTATAATGCCCTGATATTTAAAACAATCCATAATGAGACACAACCTAACAAGTTTGGCTTGGGAAGAGAGATGAAACTGCTGCTGCTTCAGTTAAATACCCCTTAACCCTGCGGTGCATCACTATAACTCTCACAAACCCTCCATGCTCCTGAAGTACAAGTGGCAGCAAAAATAAAAAAGCAATGATTATTAATGTAAGACTATAAGACACAATTTCTTAAAAAATGATTAACTTTGTTAATGTAGATATGTCTTGTATCTCTAGTTTCTATAAATCTTTACCAGGATTGACAGTAAGTGGGAAGTTGATGTCAAGAAGTTTGACAAATTAAACTGAGTCGACCAAAACTATTTCATAAATTAAAAAATGTTGAATTTAGCATTATTATCTGCTACACTCAGATAAAGCCTAGAAACAAATAAGTCCATAATTTAATATAATTTATTAATGCATATCAGAGATTTACTTTATATTTTTGTTTTTTTGGCACTTTCTCCATCAGTAGCTGAACAGCAAGTAGGGCAGAGAGAGAAGGAGAAAACCCGACACAGAACGTCTTCATCAAGGACCCCGATCTCTGTACTGGTCAGTATTTTATACTGGGCGATTCATTCTGTAGAAGAAATTGATGACGCAGAGGAAAACTTGATAAATAACCAAAGTAAAAAGCGTTGTTCTTCCTTGTCTTCTCACTGTTTATGCCAGCATTATCAAAACAGGAGCATCATCCTTTGAAACCGCTGGTGGTCGAACATCTTTCCAAAACTTTCTAAAGAAGGTCTTGCGACAGAGGAAAATTAAAGGAAAGACAAACCAGGGGGTCAGAAAATGAGGCCACCTCAGATTTAAAGTTTTTTTTCCTCTAATTACCGACCAAGAAGATTATAAATTATGATCTTGTTTATGGTAAATTACACTAAGTGGGTGGGCTGACGTCAAGGTGACACCAGACATTGATTAATGAAAACTTCAAATGTGTAAAATGCAACCGACTGATAAATCAGAAGCTCTTCCACGACTATTATCCATAAAGACTAAAACACATAAGACACGTAGTTTTGGATAACATTTTAATGCTGCTACAGTTTTAAACTGAAAACTAGATCGTCTTCAGTCTAGTGAATTGGCAAAACTATATGATCAACTCTCAAGTTAAATGGGGTCATTTGAAAACAGTTTAAGAAAATGTGTAACCAGATCACAAAACATTATTGTTTGTAATTAAAATCTCACTTTCAATGTTTAAATTTTGCCCTATTGTTAACATTTTCCCATAATCTACGCAATGTGCAGTTCTGTGAAGCTCACCTAAAACTTCCTGCTCTGTCGACAACCATCCCTCAATAGAGTCAAACAAGATGGCTGCTGATGTTAATTCAATATAAAGTGTGACCATTGCAAACTGAATGCTTCTATTGCAACAACTATAGACAGACTACAACTCTAAAACAGCACAGAAAATTGACGTTCACAACTTTTCCTGTTTGCTGATTGTCCTGGATGAAAACCTACCAGCAGAATCAAAGTGAATGAGAGAAAGCCCAGCTAGATCACTGGAGGGAGATGAGAATCAAGCAGAATCGTGACGGAAGGCAGTAGCCAGGCTTCGGAGTCCTCTGGACTTGATGAAGCACGGTACAAATACGCTTCCTATTTACAACAAATATCTACATCACACAGAAACACAAAGAGGCTGAAAACATCTTTACTCCTGACCTGTGAGTGTTATGGAGTAAATTACATCCACTTAAAATCTCCAATGGAGGCAAGAAATAAACAACTAGAAAACAGAAAATGTGAACAACAAAGTGTGAGTGGAGTCTTTTTGTGCAACTTTTTGCAGCTGCATCACAAACATGTAATCAGCCATTGGATGATGCCTTTGGGGTTATAGATCAGATCAGAGTTTGGACAAATACATCAACATTTATACAAAATTGTTTTTTTCACTTTCTACATGAATAGATGATGATTTGAATTTCCCAAACACTTCTTAGTGAGGATGTTTGGAACTACCAGTTAAAAACTGTAACTCATATTATCCTTGTTGATCGCGCACCGTTTTCTTCCTCTCAGCTTTTCATAAACATGCACAGATTCAGATCAAATCTTTAGCAATGATCTCTAATGGTGGACAGTCATTGTGGACGGAGCCATTGAGTCTTCACTATTAGTCGGTTTTAACATAGCCAGAGCATAAACGTTATGAGTAAAACTCTTTTTCCTGGTCGTAAAAATGTTTAAAAAATAAATTAATTAAGTAACGTAAATAGAAATAGATCAACTCTTGCACAATATTACACATATATTGAGATGCATCTCTGTTTCAAGGCTAATAAAATCTGCATGTTAATGCAGATTTAATTAAAATCTGCATTAACATGCAGATTTTATTAGAAACATAATATCTATGGGCTAACTGGCCTTTGTAGCTACAAAACAAAACACTTGAGGAATAAGTATAATCTTGTTTTCTATTTAAATCAAAGTATCTACAATAGGAAGAAACAAAATAAATACATTTTTCTCAGTGGTACAGTTTTACAAAATCCAAGAAAGACTTACTTTTCTGCATGACAATTAAAAGAAGCAAAATTGTTTTAATCAGTTATTAGGGGAAAAAAAGCCAAATTAGGGATGTCCATTACGTCAGGGCTGATGTAGAAAATAAAGTTACACTTTACCTTCTGCACATCAAACAGTGGCATTTATATCACATGACCTCACCGTGACCCCTGACAGTCAGTGCGGAGCCAGAAAAGTGGAAATGTATTGAAATTTCCTGGAAGTCTCCTGAGTGTGCCACAGGACAGGGGGTCTTCCGAAGAGCTCTGCAGCAACAGTAGCAGAAGTAAAGGTTTGCATATAAACGCACAACTTTACCTAGAGAATTACTTGGAAAACCTGAAAGCCAACTTGCTCATATAGGAGCGTATTGGATGCACGTGTCTGTGCAACACAGACATTGCTGGGGTCACTGAAGCACACACACAAAATTAATTAAATTCATTAAAAAAAAAAGTGTGTTTTTCTTAAAATTATCTCTGTAGCTGTCTGATCAGTCCAAGGTAGCTTTGTCTGAGAGAAAATGAAGAGAGTGTTGATAGCTTTGTTGCACTGTTTGCTCAAAGGACTGTTTGCTTATGTCTGAGCCAACATGAGAGAGAGAGAGGGAGACAAGGTACGTGCTTTCAGCCATGCTTCACGACCAGAGCAGAGGTTCAGGGTGGGAGGTGAGGGATGTGGGGGCTGCGGGGGCAGGGGGTGTCCAGTCACACTGACTCCTGGTTGGGAATGAGGGAAGGTTGTTCAATCCGGAATCCTCTGAAAGCAATATAGGAAGCAGGGATTTGAGATAGGTCCCAATGCCCTTTGGGAATTAAAGATCAAAAGTTGGGGAAAAGATCATATTCAAGGGGCAGACATGTCACAAACTGGAGACAGTGAAAGTAAATACATTTGTGTTTTGGTCTCTCATCCAGGTTTTGGGCTTGCAGCCAGCCAGATCTCCTCTGGCGCGACTGAAGACAGGAAGCCGATATGAAAGAATAGGGGGACCCACTAGGAGCCGATGCAGGAGCCGAGACAGAAGCTACTGAAGACGTTAGAAGTTATTGTTTCTGATTGCGAGAGTCCCCACTGGCAACAATTATATCATTAATTGTGACGTCACAAAGCAGGTCGGGGATCTCAACTACATACTCTGGTGGCCTGTAAACAATAAAACAATGTGGTTTGCAAAAGTGTCTTATAATCTCCTTCTACAGTCCAGAAAAGAAAAACGATGGAAAGACAGCGGATCATGGCTATGAAAACAAGGTGATATAACTTGCTGCGAGGCATTTCATGAAAGACTCGACCCACATGAATTTCCAGTGAAAAGCTCATATTCATGGATGGATGGATGATTTTATTTAAATCGCTCCATTGCAGCTCTGAGTGGATGTTTAGTCAACTACTGAAAGGTTCTCCTATATTTAACTCAACCCGTTTCATTCACAAAATAATTAACCAACAGCCAACATGTGATGCAGTTATGTCACAACTAAAAGAGTCAGTCTGCAGGTTTTTACTTTTCTAAGTTTGATGTATAATCAAACTCTGGTGGATGCTCCACCCAGACAGGACATTATGGAGTGGAAAGGTACTATTTTCAAACAACTTCCACTTTTTGGCATTTTATTATCTGTTGACATCCAAGAAGTTAGCTGATCATTGCTAGTCAGACTATGTGCATAAGGCGATCAAGAATGCATTTCAAAAGAGTATATGAATAGATTTAAATATTTTCCATAACACATAAACCTTTAGATTTTATCTTAATGTAAATTTTATTTGATCTGAAGAAACCCGGCACCCCAGTCTTTCCTCCAGTCCTGACGTTCCCCTCATTGCCATGCAGCTATTTGTGGTATTCTCTTTGCCTGCTGCCTCCAATCTTCCAGCCGTTATCTCATCAACCCCTTGTCACTTGGAGATTCCACTTCATAATCTTTGCACTGCTGCAAGCATGACTTGCAGGCCCTCAGACTCCCTGCATGGTTTGGAAAATCTCTTTTTCTTTTGCACCAACTCTTCAGCTTTACTCCTCATGTCTGGCGTCGCTAAAGGAGAAAGACTTATCTTTATTGGCATGGATCAGGCCAATAAAACTAGAGTCATCAGAAAATTTCACTGTTGGGTCTGCCAAGGTGCAAACATTTGAAATATTTGTTGTCATTTCAAACGTTAACATTTTGTTTTCTCAGTTTTTTTTCTCTGACAGTTCTTGTTTTTCTAAAATTGTTCGGCAGACGGCTGACTGAAGTGCTCTAAAAGTAGCTTTATGAACTTTTTGTAACCTCAGATTTTGTTTGAGAGAAAAGAAAACCATCCAAACAAACTTGACTGACTAAAAAAGTTGTTCCTCTTGTTTAATCATGGATGAACTGTGATTAATCAGATTCTGTGGTTCAATTCCCCTCTGGCCACACTAAACCTTGATCACTGCCAGGAGAAACTGCTAGTAATCAATATGAAATCATGAAAGAGACTTAAATCTCAAAAACTATAACGTCATCCAGAAATTCAAGAAGCATAATGCTTTATTGCACCTCTGTAATTTGCAGAAAGAGAAGAAGCAAACGTGGTAGAAGTGGTGAACCATATTAAAGCATTCATTCAACATTTCCCATCTGGTCTGTGATGTTTCCTCTTATAGACCAGCAGAAAAGTTTAAACTGAACAAAGATGGCTGAAAGCCCGCATCACCATACAGCTATACCAGTTTTTTCTAGTAAACTTTCCACCATTTTCAGGATTCATTATAGTTTATTTTCCTTTTTTTATATATTTTTGAAGGTTTGTTTTCAGCTCTTCATGGCTGAGTGACTAATGAGTTTTTTTTTAGTTAACATAATCAGCTCCTCTGTCTATTGATGCCGTCTTGCACCAAGTAATAGTTCATTACCACTAAATTCATTGTCAAGTTGGTTGAAACTTCACAAATGTATATAAAAAAAGTTGGATTTGTGCACAAAAGCATAAAATGTGAAGCTTATTATTGCAAAAAAAAAAGTTTAACCAAAAAATTTATAATTTGTTTGCAAAATTGTTTCAACAATAGTCTTTTCATAATAATTTTTTAAATAAATGTACTTTCTTAATATGGAAAGAGGAAAAAAATCCTCATGAATCCGGAAACATTTACTACCTCAAGTTTGAAATTGTTTTGCATGTTAGTAAATGAAATGTGTATTTGATTGTCTGCAACTTGTCAAGCAGATATTCCTGCTGTTATGTGAATCATTTCCAACTTTTCCACAACCATGAGAAAAACAAAGAGCTTTAAAATACACCAAGGAGAGGAAAAGGCAGATCTAGAAGATGACATAATCACCTTTGTAAAATAATGGCCAAGAGTGATTTTTATATATATATGTTATGATTTGGAATTGGAGATACTTGCTCCATACACATCTTCACTTAGAAAATCATGTGGAAGTTGATTGATCAGCAGGAGCTTGTTAATGATCTGAAAGCAGTTGCCATAGAAAAGGTCCATTTTAAATTTGCCAAGGATAATCTACATTCAGAGAAGGCTAGAAGAAGTTAATTTGATTATATAGTAAATATTTAATCAATATTATCTCCAAATATGTTAAAATGAAACGAACACAAAAACGGTCAATTTGTTTTTAAATGAAAAAAATCAGAAAGGATCAATTATTCAACCTAAACTAACAGTTTTATTTGACAAGATTATTCAAAATTCTTACTGAATAATTCAGCAGTTGATATTTTTTAGTGTAAAGTTCAGTTTATCAGCTCATCTCTTGGTGAGACATTACAGCTTCACAGGCTTTGAGAGGTGAAAATAAATCCCACTGGAAGAGTCTTTATACTTTTATAGGTGATTCAGACAAAATCCATCCACTTAAACTCTTAAGAAAGAATAAAGTCTTACCAAACCCAACCAAACTCTGGATCTGGAGTACTGACTGATGGCTCTCCGGTCCAATAGCATGAAGAGGTTCAGCTGGGCCTCAAAACTTCTGTCAAGAAATAAACAGAACCAGCTGCTTGAAATGGTTCTGCTCTAATGCATCAATCACAAAGTTCTTGGTGTATTATTTTATGAAGGGTTCAGTAACCTCTCTCTGGATGGTTCTTCACTCCAGCCAGTCCTGAGCAGTCAGTGTTGCAGCACTCAGACAGCGCGCTGTCTCCCTCTGTGGACCGTCATCTGAATTACAGGAAAAAAAAAATCTTCCAACAAAATAAATATACACTGGTAGATTTTAGGCCGAACTGAGAAATAATACAGAAGTTAGACAGTTTAGTGACCTGAATGTGGATTTGTGGAAGAAACAGGCTTCATTATGACTGCTTGGAAAAAGACATACGTTTACTATTTATGTTCACATTATAATGACAGCAAATGTTTATCTACCTGCTCTGGAGATGTTTGGTTGAAATTAAACATTTTGAAGCTAAAGCAAAGTCTGTTAGCCTGATCCTGAGGCAGAAATCTGGAGGAAGAATCTGGTAGTAAACTATCCATCAGAGAAGCTCGTATTACAGAAACATACAGGAATGATCAACTCCTTCTCTAAAATTTCTAAATTCTTTGTCAGAAAATACTTTCTTTTTAGTACTTTAATGGAAAACAAGCAGCTACATAGTAACTTTATCCTATATATAGATCAAAGGTTTTTGGGCTTTTAATGATTTAATCTATTTCATGGAACATTAAAGACAAAACAAGTTTAGACTTCAAAAGAATATAAAAATAAATTGGGTATACATATGGGATTTAAATATCCATCCGCATTAATATATGGTTAAATTATTAAGATTACTAATTGGTTAACTCTATGTAGCTTAGAAAATCAAAAATTCAAATGCAATATGTTACATAAATGACCATCATTTCACATTCATAGAGTAGAAATAACCATCATCCCTCAGTGGGTCATATTGTTCAAGTTTAGATACTATATTGTACTGCTGCTTTGATTTATGCAAACTGACCCATGGTTGGACATAAACTTGTATCTCAGCAGTGAGAGAAGATCTGGCTTCAGTGTAGCAACACAGGGGTCAATATAAAGAGTGAGGGAAGGATGCAGCGGCGCCTCCACACTGGCCTCCAAAAACTCTGCTTCCCCCTGCTGGAAAACCGCGGAACTGCGATGAGACCTGCAGATTTCTGTCAGAACAAAAACTTTTATTTCAACCACAGATTCAGGTTGTGAAGAGGCAATAATCATAGATACCAGTGTCAGAGTGTATATACAACAAATGGGGTCTAAATTCAATAGAATAACTTTACTTGTCATAATGGAAAGGGAAACGTAGAAGGCCGAAAGCACCAATGGTGGAAGTCATTGGAACCCAGGTTGGTGCTATTGATTCTCTCTGCTTCCTGTTTTCATAGAGAAGATTACTTTTTTTCCATAAAATAATAAAATCTACATAAAGAACATAGCCATCAGCCTCACCTTTTATAACGGCATTCTACGGTATGACAATGGTTTACCCTCGACTATCACACTTCCTTTAAGGTCACAAGCACAGCAGGAAACACCAACAACTTGTTGGAGTAGACGAGCCACTCACCTTGAACCTGACAAAAAGGTATGCTAATGCATTCTTAAGTTAGGAAACTTGTTAATAAGGAAAAACATATCATTAATTGTGTTGGGTATTTACCCCGAACCCATGGAGGAAAAGGACTGAAATGAACACAGAACAAGGAAATAACTCAAGAAAAACATTTTGCTGTAATTAAAATAAAACAATAACCTCACTAAAGCTGCTATAAACTGTATTGTGTGTTTTCATGTCTGCATGAGAGATCAGACCCAGAATTAAAGGAAGAACTACTAAACAAGTGAGACATTTTTACATTTGTTTCTGCATTTTTCTGGAGGTTTTTCAGTGACACGTTTTACTGTTGATGTTCCATCTTCATTACTAATCAACTTCTGTTTGTTTAATTATCCATTAAACAAATTGATAGGTAATTCCTCAGAATTACTTTTGAGGATAGAAGCAATGTTTTGCTGTGGAGAAACTTCAAATACTCATATATTGTACTGTTGCTTTGATTTATGCAAACTGACTCATGGTTGGAGATAAACCAATTGATAGGTAATTTCTGAGAATTACAGGAGGTGGTTTTGTTGAGCCTGCTGGCTTGATTGTTGAGCTGATGTTGAG